ACTGGTATAACAAAATAAGGTATTACGACATTACGTGTGGCCAAGTGACGAACAGAATAACGGTTTACATAAAATGACTAACTTAGAAAAAAAGACCAAATTTACGCTCACTACAATGGCAGGAAGAAAGACTGTAGTAAAGACTCTCCTTGACTCAAGATAGACAGGGAGTGAGCTATGGTGGGAGATAGAGAGAGAGCGAGAGAGAAGAGAGAGAGAGAGATCTTTGGGCTGTAATTTCGCCGGCTGAATGTATCTAATTTAATACGGATTACTCGTGAATTACCAGGTTTTAACCGGCATCTCGCGTCCAGCCATCCATCCCACACCCAGGCTGGCTGGTTTATGGGCAGGGGTGGGAATGTAAAGATGGGGGAGTGGGGAGGGGGTGGGGGGGGCAGCATCCGTTGGGTTAGAGGACACATCTTACACTGTTTTTTTTTAAACGCAAGAGAAGTTGGTTTTAAATTTTAAATTGAATTCAATTAGAATCAAACTGAAATAAGACAGTTTTATTTAATTAGTGACGATGAATGCATACACAATTAAAGTTTGCGAAAATCTAAATTAACAGCCTATATTTTTTTATATGACGGATCTTCCATTAATGACTTCGAAAAATATTTTAGAAACTTTTTACTATCACTAACCACTTTAGTGTGACACGTCTTTATTAATGGCCCTTTAACATGACGTCACAAGAATCCGCCAACTCGTAATAAATCTAACTTAACACTTTTTTCATCATTATGGTTCTTTATTAGACATAAACGTAAATTATGGACGACCCCTTTAATTATATAATAAATTATATTGCATTTAAAAAGTTAAACCTAGACGAAAAAACCCTAATTATTATGCAGTAAGGTGTTTTGTGTTTTTAAAAATATTTGTAAGTTAAACCCGAAAAGCCCCCAAAGGGATATTTTAAATGGCTCCACATATCCCTGGCCTTGTAATTAGCTCCGGTAAATAAAACTTAAATAAATCTTAATTAAAAACAAACTTATTTATTCTAGTAGTTGTGTTTCTTTTCATATTGGGACTTTTTGTTTCAGATTTATTATGAATAAACAACACACATGAATCGGAAGTTTCGTTGTATCCGTCTCTTGCATTTTTAAAATATACTTTTATTTTGTTGTTTCCACACTTTTATTTTAAACAGCTGCGTATACGTGACGTCAACACATTAGAAAATAATGAGCCGAATGTTACAAAAGATGACGTCAAAAACAGAAAGAATAAAAAAAAAATTAACCGGAATGTTAAAAAATAGTTATCTAATTATCAAAATTATTTTTTCGACTCGCAGACATTCATCAAGATGACATCAAAAGTAGGTTTTTAAACGTCGAAGATATCAAATTCTCGACCAACTTCCTGTACGTAACAGGACGACTTACTACACCGTCCATATTTGAACCCTGACCTCTAATCCTCGAGTTTTCATTTGATGAACTGGCTTTATCTATCGACTTCACACCACTGGACGAGATCACAAACACCGGCTGATAACTAAGACGAGATGATCTCGTGTTCGACACTCAGCTATTATCACCATCAAAGGGATTGCTGGCTTATCGGGCACTTTTTCCTGACATAAATACGTACACTTCAATCCCCGAGCAGAAGATCTAATATCTAGATAGACGACGGGTCTTGGAGAAGCGGAAGTGAGGGGGTCGGTCAAGGGAAGTAAGAGATATTACACTTTGGGGATGAGCAGGGAGCTATGGGAATACGAATATGTTAGATGAAGTATTAGATATTTTCTGATGTGGGTAAAAGAGACGAAAAAAAGCCAGACAATATTTTTAAGGAAAAAAAATTGAACTTACTAAAAGACAAGGAATATGTAATTTATTTTTGTAATGACTTCCTGCTGAGTAGTAATTAGGTCTTTTTTTTTGTTGCCAGATCTAAGTAATAGAAATAGTTAGTTTATTTTGGGCAGTTGTATAAGAAAAGGACAGCGTGGTTGAATGGTGGAGCGTTCGGCTGCTAGCTCTAAGGTCTAGAGTTTGGATCTTAGATGTCCCTTAGTCCACCCAGCTCTAATGACTATCGTTGGGGAAATTAAAGGTGGCTGGGCATAGTGCTGGCCACACCATTCCTTCATATGCTGAGGTCAAGAAACACGAACTCTACTTCATCAGAAAAAAATTATCTCTAGGTCTAAAAAGGAAATTTGTTTCTACTATCAGATGAAAAAAAAAAACAAAGATATAAAAAAATGAAATAACAGCAGTTGTTTTGACACGTTGTCTGGGCTATTGTACACCATTTATATGTAAATAAAGCAATTCGGTTATCCCGACGTGGCACTATGGAAGAGATGTTATGATGGTAAACTTTAACCTAACTCAAACATCAACATTGGCAAACACTAGACTTAACCCAACCCTAATCTCGATCTAAAATTGATTCTAACTCTACCCCAAAAACAGCGAAACTACGATTCAGTCCAAATATTAATAAACAAATAAAACATTGAAAAACGTAACGAATAAATACGCAACAAACTGCTTTTCGAAACAACATGGTTGTATATCGGCCAGGCCTATCTTTCGCCTATCATAACATTTCCGCCGTATCTTCTAAATATAATTTGCACGTGCCTCATTGCAATATCCACTGAATTTATGTGACAAAATGAACCATTCCTTGTTGATTACATACCAAAGTACACCACCCCAGCAGAAATTCGCGTTTTTCTCACCAAAATTACACGTCTCCGTCCTAGCTTTATAATTTTCTCAGGCATTCTTTTTTTTTTGTGCTAATCTTAGGAGTCGGGAGTTTTCCGCTGAAATTACAGTTTAAATTAGCCCCCTAGACCGTCGCCTGATTCAGGTATCCGAACCCAAGCCGTCTTAAGAATTTTTTTTTTGAAATCTTATTTCGATCGGGGTTAACGATGCTAGTGGTTGGAGGGGGAAAAAACTGCCGGTTTTGTGTCGACCGGATGAAGGTTTTTATGCCGGTTAGTTGGTTTGAGAGCTGAGTGGACACATTCTTTAAAAAAAACGGTTGTAAGTTTGTAGATATTTTTGTTAAACCTGTAAGTTCGTTTGGGTATCTGTGTTTGAGTATCTGAGTATGTGTATTTGTGTATCTGTGTATATTTTTTATCTTTGTGTGTATCTGCATTTGTTTATCTGTTTGTTAGATATGTGTCGCTGTGTCTGTCAATGTGTGTGTACTTTTGTGTATCAGATGTGTGTTTGTAGATGTGTTTGTGTATCTGTGTTTGAGTATCTGTGAATGTTTATACGTGTATGTGTCAGTATTTGTGTATATGTGTGTTAGCTATGTGTCACTATCTGTGCCTGTCATTGTGTATGTGTACTTTTATGTAACAGATGTGTGTCTGTCTGTCTGTCGGTCTGTCGGTCTGTCTGTCCGTCTGTCTGTCTGTGTACTAGTGTGTGTCTCATCTCTGTCACAATCTAAGTGCCCTCTGTGTACATGTAATTAAATACCCTCTGCATTACAGACAACTAATTTCTCCTGATCAATCGAGTCTAAAACCCTACAAAGTCCCCTCAAACTCCCCTCACAAATGTCGGGAGGGAAAAACTATTGATTCAATTAGAGCTGTCTGTGACAGTTAAGCTGTCTGTAGGACGTCACGTGGTTCCCGTTCTCGTGTAGGAAATGTAAGAGAAGATTATTAAAACCCAAAGTTTAATTTGTCTAGATATAAGGCCGATGTTTTGATACCTCAATTAAAACTCAAAGTTTAATTTATCTCTAATTACTCAGCTAACCCGAGAATGGGCTGATTTAAAGGAAGGGTTGCGGTGTGCGATTTTCGTTGTTTGTTTAATAAATCTAGTGGGTTTTTTTTATATCTATTGGTTAAAGTTAGAGATTGTGTTGACTATTGCGTAAAACTAGAGCCTTTTGTTGACTATGATCAACTAGGTTAACTGGGCCATTGGGCTATGGTCATCTCGGTTAATGGTCTGGTCAACTGGGCTAATTGGGCTATGGTCAACTGGGCTATGGAGCTATGGTCAACTGGGCTATGGAGCTATGGTCAACTGGGCTATGGAGCTATGGTCAACTGGGCTATGGAGCTATGGTCAACTGGGCTATGGAGCTATGGTCAACTGGGCTATGTTAGAGATTGTGTTGACTATTGCGTAAAACTAGAGCCTTTTGTTGACTATGATCAACTAGGTTAACTGGGCCATTGGGCTATGGTCATCTCGGTTAATGGTCTGGTCAACTGGGCTAATTGGGCTATGGTCAACTGGGCTATGGAGCTATGGTCAACTGGGCTATGGAGCTATGGTCAACTGGGCTATGGAGCTATGGTCAACTGGGCTATGGAGCTATGGTCAACTGGGCTATGGAGCTATGGTCAACTGGGCTATGGAGCTATGGTCAACTGGGCTATGGAGCTATGGTCAACTGGGCTATGGAGCTATGGTCAACTGGGCTATGGAGCTATGGTCAACTGGGCTATGGAGCTATGGTCAACTGGGCTATGGAGCTATGGTCAACTGGGCTATGGAGCTATGGTCAACTGGGCTATGGAGCTATGGTCAACTGGGCTATGGAGCTATGGTCAACTGGGCTATGGAGCTATGGTCAACTGGGCTATGGAGCTATGGTCAACTAGGTTTATGGTCTATGATCAACTGAGCTATTGCGCTATGGTAAACTTGGCAATTGGGCCTTGGTCAACTGGGCTATTGGGCTATGGTTAATTGGGCTATGGTCAACAAGGCTGGTACTTATAAGAGACCTACCCGCGATCCAACATTACTCCCACTTGGAGAAAACCTCACATAAATACAAGCACCGCGAACGTCGAGACAATAGACATGCCACCTGAAATCTCTCGCTGTGAAACTAAGTCTTTAAGACACACGCTATGAGAATGATACACTGAAAACGACGTTTCAAGACGTCAAGATACTATCAGGATAATTACATCTTAGGATAACTGGACCGAAGGAGAGCTATTTAAACAATTTTTTTTTTACCTGTTGGTTTTGATAAGCCGTGACGGCCATGAATGACGTCTGCGGGAAGAAGATGACGTATCTCTCCGCCCGATCTACGTCTGCTTGTACCTCCTCCAGAACCACTTGCGGCTGGAACTTCTGCATGGAAACTAGCGACACCTGGCGTCGATCAGAAATGTCAAAATAAGTTTTTCGGAAAACAAAATTAACTGTTTAAATAAACGTGATGTGTTTAAATAATATTTTCGAAGATTTTTTTTTTAAAAACATCAAAGAGTAAGTTTTGAAAGATATTAAATAACTTCCGTATTTTTTAAGACATGAAATAATTTCTGTATTTCGTTAGGTATTATACGAGACTGCATTAAGAGATATAATTATTTTTAAACCTATTTTCCTGGAGTAAGAAATATAAGAATATTTCTTGAAAAGAATATTTGTTATTTGTATTTCGTACGCACATGAGAAATGGCTACACAAAAATACATTTCTTAATGAGAAATATGATTCTGTATTTTGAATATATTTCCTGTTATTATTGGGTTTAGAAGGAAAAATATGACTTTTTTTCTGGTAGGAAATAATTTTGGATGACGTTTGTTAAATGATTACATTGGAAAAAAAAAAAGCTTTTGATAGATGAAAGGTGAAAGGGGAAATTGAGAGAGGCAGTCAAAAAAAGAAAGAGTGTGAAAAATTTGTAGGAAAAGAAACCGGACCTGCCCGGCTTTGGAGAGGTCGCTGTTCGTCATCTTCAGTCTCTCGAATGAAACTATTTGTGAACAAATGGCCTGGCCGCTGATTGGTCCTTCCTGAATCACGTGACAGGGTACTGACGTCATTGTGTCACCTGATCCAGACACCATCCACCGGGAACTAAAAAAAAAAAATTTTTTTTTACACCAACATTTTTTCCTCTTCTAGTCTGTCTTTAAGCTAGTCTTGGCATGATAATATACCATATACGTACGTTTAAAATTGGTGTATACGAAGATGCTTTTTAATATTTACTTATGTTTATAACTATGGTATCGAGATTTATGTTTTGAGCAATCGTATGCGCTGAAATTGGTAGCACTGTATTAACAATTAAGTAAATAATTGATTATATTTAATGGACATCATCAATTTAGAATTACGGAGAAAAAATTAAAACATATACAAGTAATTTAAAAAGATGTACTTCTGATACTTATTTCTAAACTTCATCAACGTTAATTAGTCAGTCTACAGTTTTTAACTAGAAATAAATCTGTGTTATATTCTATTTTCGGCCATTAAACGTGACTGACAGTCTGTCATTATTAGACCGCTTTACTGTCCTTATTTCAGGCCCAATTATCAAATAATGAAACGTATCCATTTACTTATTAAGGATTGCTCTTTTGACCTAACGATTCAATGGGCAGATGAAGTAGAGTTCATATGTTTCTTGACCACGGCATATGAAGGGATAATGAGGTCAGCACTATGCCCAGCCGCCACTACTTTTAGTTATACATTTTTAGAACATTCTGTTAGTCTTATCTATTCAATGATTTTCCTTGATAAATACACCTGTACCTTTACCTGTGATAACTGTACATGTTTTTCTTACCTGTGATAAATATACCTGTTTTCCTACCTGTGATAAACATACATGTATTTCTTACGTCTGATAAAGATACCTGTATGTCTTACCTGTGAGAATATACCTGTATGTGATAAATATACCTCTATGTCTTACCTATGATAAATATACCTGTAGGTGCTAAATATACCTGTATGTCTTACCTGTGATAGATATACCTGTACTTGCGAGTATCAGGTTGACAAAACTCAAGCTTGACGTGAAACATTTTTGTTGGATTTAATCCGGTAATCCGGAGCTTGAGGGCTGGGAACATCCGCCTAAAACATCAAAATAGTGGATTATATCATCATAATGGTGGATTATATCATCATAATAGTGGATTATATCATCATAATAGTGGATTATATCATCATAATAGTGGATTATATCATCATAATAGTGGATTATATCATCATAATAGTGGATTATATCATCATAATAGTAGATTATATCATCATAATAGTGGATTATATCATCATAATAGTGGATTATATCATCATAATAGTGGATTATATCATCATAATAGTGGATTATATCATCATAATAGTGGATTATATCATCATAATAGTGGATTATATCATCATAATAGTGGATTGTATCATCCTAATGGTGGATTATATCATCATAATAGTGGCTGATAACATCAATGTAACATCATATTTCACAGGCTTCTATCATCAATATAACATTGTAATTGTGGCTTATATCATCAGTATAACAAAATTGTGGCCTACCTCATCAATATAACGTCATGATAGTGTCTTATGTCATTAATATAACAACATGACTATGGCTTATATCAGCAATATATTAGAGATTAGCTTCCTTGTACCAAACTACAACAGCATCATTTAATTTAAGAATAGAATGAGTTCCCTTATAAAGTAGGTGGTAAAAAAAAAGTAACCCTAAATCTAGCCCCTAAGTTCGACAGTTTGATGGCCAAACCACAAAGGAAGATTTTTATCAATAAACGTTAAAAAACAAACTATTGACATGACTATAAAAAATTGCCGTCAGTGTTGTTGATTTAAGAGGGAAAATACAAAAAAATAATAATTAATAAATTTGGAGATAGTTATTACATTATTGATTAGAGTGAAATATGAAAAAAAAAATTGTTTAGATCTGATACAGGATTAAAAGAGTTCTTAACAAGCTGATAATACTACATAAGAGGGGAAGGATTATCTTTTATATTTTTTTTTATCTCTTGAGATTAATTCTCAACTCATGACTTAATTTTCACACGAGATTCCATTTGAGTCAACACGTTCAGACCTTGACTTAACGAATCGAAAACTCTAGAACAAAACATCTGCTCGCAGGAAGTGCTCAATTGACGTCATATCCGGGGACGCCATCTTGTGCTGCATCTTGGTCCGCTCGGATATTATTGATCACGCCGTGCAGGGGAAGTAATGCATCAAGATAAATAACACGAATCTATGGAGTAACGGTTCCTAGCTACTGGTTCAGCATTGCAGTAGAGGGCATAAAAAAAAAAATTATTGGCAATCTCGAGAAAACGTTCACAAATGAGTAATTTCAATAACGAAGAATAAATTAGACTATAAATTTTAGTTTGAAATTCCGACTGATGGGACGGTCTTTATGAAGAACAGCGGATTGAAGAAAGGGAAAAAATTCCCCCTGATCTGTTAGGTGATTGATAATATCCATAATATCGAAGTCTTATCTTTATTCGCTAGTCCCCTCTCCCCCTCTTTACACGTGGTTAACTCTAATTTTAAAAACATCGATAACACTTCTTTTTTAAAAAAAAACGGACATTTCAAAAGTTTTGACATTTTCAATTAAAAATGCGATTTACAAAATAAAAAAAAATAGTTGTCGTGTTCGATTAGATGCAAGACGTTAAGGAGTAGAACTAATTTAAGATTACCTCCTCATACTATTATTAGTTCAATGCTAACCTTCTAATGTTTATAGTTTGTGGGGATTCCCAATTTGATAGGTTTCTGTTTTCTACATAAAGTTGTAAAACCTTTTACTAGATGTGTCGTACAGAAAATAAATGAATCTTAAGTCTTTTTCATTACATTATCTGTCTTTATCATGGTTTCGTTTAAGTTATCAACAAAATTCTTAAAGACAAGAATTGGGTAAAAAAAAATTTAATACGATGCCGGACATTCTTTTTTTTTAGAATGATCATTACTTGTTGTAAATTATTTGAATAGTAAAAAAAAGTTGGGCTACATTATATAAGTATAGTAATAATTTTGAGGTAAAAATTAGTTGGCCTATAAATGTTGGCCAAATATATTTGCGCTATTAGGAAAAATTGGATAATGATGATTCCGAAATAAAAATAATTTAATCTTTTACAATTAAAGCTAATTTGGTTTAAAACATAATTAAATAAAAAAGCTGTAAAAATTTTTAGCCAAGTATAATTCAGCAATTAAATTAAAATTTTTAGCCAAGCATAATTCAACAATTAAGTTAAAATTTAGCCAAGTATAATTCAGTAATTAAATAAAAATGTGTCCATGCATAATTCAGCAGCCAAACATAATTGTATAAAAATTTGGCACAACACAACGCAGCAGTTTAAAAAAAGCAACTACCTCCCAGATTTGGTAATGATCATCTCCGTGCCGAGGTTGTGAAACGAGCTCCAGAGGTCAGCGTGACACAGTTCTACCAGAATCGACCTCTCACTCCCAGAAGAATCTGAACGGTATTTAAAAATAATTTATCACGAGGCAATCATTAATCCTCCCATTGATTAAAAAAATAAATTTAAAAACCCACCACAAAACCCAACCGTCTCATGTGTCCGGCCTGAGATCCAAACGTCGATCTCAAGGTTTTAACTGTGTGTCTAGATCCCATTCTCATGTTACACGTCGCCAAAACATATTGTTGGTTAAGTAAGGATAGTGTTCCTATTATAATAATAATTATTATTATAATTATTATAATTATTATAATTATTATAATGATTATTATGATTATTATGATTATTATGATTATAATGATAATAATAATAATTATTATAATTATAATTATAATTATAATTATAATTATAATTATAATTATAATTATAATTATAATTATAATTATAATTATAATTATAATTATAATTATAATTATAATTATAATTATAATTATAATTATAATTATAATTATAATTATAATTATAATTATAATTATTATTAAAATTATTAAAATTATTATAATTATTATAATTATAATAATTATTATTATTATTAAAATTATTATAATTATTATAATTATAATAATAATTATTATTATTATTATTATAATTATAATTATTATTATTATTATTATTATTATTATTATTATTATTATTATTATTATTATTATTATTATTATTATTATTATTATTATTATTAATATTACGAGCCGACCGCGCCATATAATACGCCGCTATTTAGTTGTTGTTTTTTCTACTTTTCAGTTATTCATAATTTGTGAATTCGACACTACCAACGCTGCCACTGAAAATATTTCTTTAAAACACTAGTTATTATTATTATTATTATCATTCACCCTATTGTTTTACAACAACACTTTTCCATCAGATCATAGCAGTCACAGCTTAGCATTTAGGCCTGCATATCAACTTTATAAATCATAGATTTATGGGTGTGCGTTAAATATGTGGTCAGCCCATGATTCGGAGTTTGGGCCTAGAGTTTAAGATACAGTAAGGTATTCAGTTCCTAGCAAAGATCACATCAAGTTTTAACATCTTGAATATAATTCGACTTTAAAAAAAAGGTATTTTGAAGTTCTGCCGTGTGTTTAGAGGGTTGATTGGTCTACCCTCGTGAGAGAATTGCCAGTCCAGTAAAGGAGAATGAGCAACCAGCTCTAGCTGGAGACACGTGTGAAGACTGCTTGTATGTGTCAACCAGAAACCACTGTTTTCAAGACACATGCATGGGTTGAGTACTGCAACCAGTGATGAAGACACACGTACGGAATGAATACCTCAACCAGTGTTGAAGACACACGTACGGACTGAATACTGCAACCACTTTTGTAGACACATACATGGGTTAACAACTGCAACCCGTTTTGAATACACATACATGGGTTGACAACTGCAACCAGTGTTACGACACATACATGGGATGACATCTGCAATCAGTGTTGAAGACACATACATGGGATGACAACTGCAACCAGTGTTGAAGACACATACATGAGTTGACAACTGCAACCAGTGTTGAAGACACATACATGGGATGACAACTGCAACCAGTGTTGAAGACACAAACATGGGATGACAACTGCAACCAGTGTTGAAGACACATACATGGGATGACAACTGCAACCAGTGTTGAAGACACAAACATGGGATGACAACTGCAACCAGTGTTGAAGACACAAACATGGGTTGACAACTGCAACCAGTGTTGAAGACACATACATGGGTTGACAACTGCAACCAGTGTTGAAGACACATACATGAGTTGACAACTGCAACCAGTGTTGAAGACACATACATGAGTTGACAACTGCAACCAGTGTTGAAGACACATACATGAGTTGACAACTGCAACCAGTGTTGAAGACAAATACATGGGATGACAACTGCAACCAGTGTTGAAGACACATACATGGGTTGACAACTGCAACCAGTGTTGAAGACACATACATGGGTTGACAACTGCAACCAGTGTTGAAGACACATACATGGGTTGACAACTGCAACCAGTGTTGAAGACACATACATGGGATGACAACTGCAACCAGTGTTGAAGACACATACATGGGTTGACAACTGCAACCAGTGTTGAAGACACATACATGGGTTGACAACTGCAACCAGTGTTGAAGACACATACATGAGTTGACAACTGCAACCAGTGTTGAAGACACATACATGGGTTGACAACTGCAACCAGTGTTGAAGACACATACATGGGATGACAACTGCAACCAGTGTTGAAGACACATACATGGGTTGACAACTGCAACCAGTGTTAAAGACACAATACATGGGTTAACAACTGCAACCAGTGTTGAAGACACATACATGGGTTGACAACTGCAACCAGTGTTGAAGACACATACATGGGATGACAACTGCAACCAGTGTTGAAGACACATACATGGGATGATAACTGCAACCAGTGTTGAAGACACATACATGGGATGACAACTGCAACCAGTGTTGAAGACACATACATGGGATGACAACTGCAACAAATTTTGAAGACTTATGCGTGGGCTCAACACGTCCAACCGGCAGTAAAGGTCAAACAAATATGCAGAACGCAGGGGTTCACACACCCCCAAGATATCGATGACAGGTAAACCATCAACACGTCAGCCGTGAGATAGAGGGATAAGATCCGGCAACAACGGCTTTGGTTTATCTGCCGGCATTGGTTTACCTGCCGGCATTGGTTTACCTGCCGGCACCCGAGGTCTCGTCACCTCTCACCGGCTCGGTGCTGGTTTCCTTGGCACCTCGTGAAGATACGGTCTCAGAGGGAGTATCGTTGTCTTTTTCGACATACTGTTGTTTTTGTGGGAATATTGTTGTCTTTGTGGGCATGTTGTTGTCTTTGTGGGATGCTGTTGTCTTTGTGAGCATGTTGTTGTCTTTGATGGCATGTTGTTGTCTTTGTGGGCATGTTGTAGTCTTTGAGGGTATGTTATTATCTTTTTGGGAATGTTGTTGTCTTTGTGGGATGTTGTAGTCTTTGATGGTATGTTAGTGTCTTTGTGAGAATGTTGTTGTCTTTGTGGGCATGTTGTTGTCTTTGTGGGCATGTTGTTGTCTTTGATGGCATGTTATTGTCTTTGATGGTATTTTGTTGTCTTTGTGAGCAATTTGTTGTTTTTGATAGCATGTGGTGGTATTTGTCGGTGTATTCTTGTCTTTCTAGGCCTACCGTATGGTCTTTGTAAAGATGTTGTTGTGGGTGTATTCTTATCTTTGTGGGTTTATTGTTGCCCTATCTGGACATACTGATGTCTTCATGGAAATACCGTTGTCTTTGTGGGCAAAGTGTTGTGTTTCTGGGCATATTGTTGTCATTCTAAAAACAATCTTGTCTTTATGGATATTTTGTTCTCTATTTGGATGTAATGTTTTATTTGTGAGCATGATCAATGGGTAAACCCAGTGACTACCAGCCTCTACACAACGGCAAGCATTCTCATCTCAATTCTACGGACCAAACTGATTTTTACTCTGAAGCTGGATTCTACATAAAGAACATTCTAGTACATCAAAACTTAACTTTTCTTGCCCTGCCCAAAAAACCTTTCAGATTTCAACGACTTCTTTGAAAAATATTGCCCTCACTCCCAACTCTCCTTTGGGAAGCGTTTACCCGTATTTTTGTAGCATCTATCAAGTGCTCGCTAAGAGGCGACAGGTGCAAGTAGAGATGCAGACGCCAGTGTCTCACGAGACAGGGACTGGTGCACCTCTCTATCACGACCAGTCAACCGCTTCCCTGCAGGTTTTGTTTTACCTGAGCTTGAGCTAAAAAAAACAACAACAAGCACTCTCAACTTCAGCTCTGTTTTCTAATCCAAACAAGAGTTGGCCATTTCGATACGAGGTTTTTAATAGTTTTTAAATAGAGAAAAGTTTCAAGAAATTTAGATCCAGTCCCACACAAAAAAAGTTGAAGTTGGTAGAATGGCACAAAAAGCCGTCTAAAACTAGAGTAATAAAAACATAGCTACAATATTCAATATAGAATTTTTAGAGAATGTAAGTAAAGTTCCCTTCAAAGGTGACGGTCTACGGGGCAAGTGAAGTAGAGTTCACTTGTTTCTGTGACCTCGACATATGAAAGGATAATGTTGTCAGAGTTGGTTGGACTCAGGGACGGTCGACTGACTTGAACCCGGATTCGAGACTTACGGGTTAGCAGTCCAGCTCTCTACCGCTAGGCCACTCCGTCCTCATTTCGATAAAGTAATTTGAATTAAATCTACATGAGACGGTGGGTTGACGCATTCATCATGAACATAATCAAACAGAGACCTGATAGAGGTTTTCAAACATAAAATTCGTTACAAAAAATAAAGTGAGCGTTTTTAACAACTTTTAAACCCTCTGTACCTGTCCAAGTTTTGACAGAGCTGAAGGATGAAGCAACTCGCGCAAGACCAGAGTGAGTGGTGTGTGTGTGGGGGGGTGGGAGTATCTACTTTAAATAACATCCTATGATCTAACTTGGAGCGAGATTAAAAAATATAAAATATTCCACATTTTAAAAAATTAAACTGAGCACTATTGCGAGATTGTACACTCGGCTTAAAACCTGCTACTAGCATCAAAACGTGGGTTACATTGGCTATCCCTTCAGCCGGCCTCGCCCCACGTTTGTTTATCAAGAGAGAGAGAGAGAGAGAAAATACATTTGTCGAATATGCTAGGCCGCAACTTTATTTATAGATACAAGCACATTGTTGTAAACACACAGAGGTCTTCTTTCTTCTTAAAGTTTACTTTCTCGTGTAAACATTTCGTATCTTCTGTGAGTAGATTTTACACTTCTGTATCTTGGGTGTGATACATTAATCTCAGGTGCATAGATATTATTATATATTATATATATATATATATATATATATATATATATATATATATATATATATATATATATATGTATATATATATATATATATATATATATATATATATATATATGTGTGTGT